TGTGTGTGTGTGTGCGCGTGTGTTTGTGTGTGTGTGTGTGTGTGTGTGTGTGCGCAAGAGTGCCAGAGTGCCAGCTGGGCATCCCACTTAACTTTATAACTCACAGACATGCACAGCTATCACACATACATTACTTGTGATCAAACAGACACTCTCAGGAACAAGGTCACCTCATTTGGTGAAGGACGAACACGAGCAATCAGAAACAGTGTGTGTGACTTCATAAAGGAAGTCAATGAGAACATAATCATTGTACAAAGCAGCATTGTTTGCCATTCTAGGCATGAGCCACCAAGCACTTACACACCTGTTCTGGCATTTTGTCCTCAGTAGCAGTTGTCGCTTTCACACACAGACAGTAACATTACAAGGATACGCATGTGCGTGTCAAAACAAGTGCACAAATCAGTCCTGCTCTGACACTTGTACTTGTTCTTACCATTGCAACAGAATAGATGTTCTCTGGGCCAAACACCGAGTCAAGGTACAACACAGCATTCTGGGTCAAAGAGAGGCGAGGGGCGGTTCGGTGAGTGGGACATAAGCAGAGGAAATTAGGGCAAAGGATGAGTGGAGGAGAGGAAAGGGTTAAAAGAGGATTAACAAATCAAGGGGCAACATGAGAGAGGGCTAAATGTGCTTATACACATACCACAAGTATAAGCATTTATTAGGGAATAAGAGAAGTAAAGGTCCAGTAATCCGAATATATATAAAAGTTTTAAACCAACATAAACGAGATCTCTTCAAAATCTCAACTGTTTCGCCTAGATGTCTTTGTTTTGCATGGAGAGCCTCATGCTTCTCAGATGTTTCTCCTGAGGCAAAAAAAACCCCTGTGTAATCTCATATTTCTCCTCTAGAGTTTCAGTGCTCAGATTTGCTAAAGCACCAAACTCTGCAATCAGGATTTCAGTATACATTACTCATCGAATTGTAGCCTATTTATACTCAGCAAACCTTACTTTTGTGTCTGTTTTTTTCTTAGTAGGCTAGAAACATCTGAGGCAAAGTTGATACTTCAGTGAAAAATAATCAAGACCTTTATCTAGCCTATGGAAGAGCAACCTCTATTGAATATTTTGAACAAATAAGAGCACATTTTTCCTGTGGAAAGTTTAGAATAAGTCATTAGATCATGTCACAAATAATAAAAAAAGTTACCTCAGCACCAATCTCAATCACATGGGTGCCGACAATGGACTCCACGTACTTTCTCAACCCGTCCAGAGGCTCCAGAATAACAGACCCAAAATCATAAGAGCCTGAAGTGAACTCCTCAGCAAACCCATGACACAAGACCGACCGAACCAGAACCAAAAACCCAAAGAAAAGCAGCTTTTCCGAACTTTTCGAGGCAATGTTGTGACCAGACATCCTTAACAACCCGGATCAACACGCGGTTCAAAAGAGGGATCCGAAAAAAAATGTATAAAAACTAGAAAAATAGCCGGTCAGTTTGTCTAGCGGGTTTATTACCTTGGAAAAAAAAATGGATAAAAAATAACTGCTGGTTCTTTCAGACAAAACTAAACCTAGTTCATGGCTAAGCAAATTAACAAGTTCAGCCGTGTCAAAAACATGCGCAAACAAAAACCCAACTGAACAAACACAATTAGATGGCATACGCTGCGCTCCTCATATATATATATATATATAGGCTATAATACTAAAATTAAGTTCTCAAAATGGCACGCGCTTGCCAAGGGCACTTAAAAATAGCGTCTAGATGACTGTGTTTGGTATCATACAACAAAGCGTTAAGTCGATAAAGATACAATTTAATTTAGAAACCGTCTAGTGCAAAAGAAAAATGTTTTTAAAAAAGCCACGGAAGTCTAAGACGCGTGTTATTGAGCGAGGATCCGAAACGAATCCAGTTTGTGAGGATCTGTGTGGATGTTAAAGTTGGGTGCGGAGCTCCGGGCTGCACGACGGAGGAGTTTGGATACGGCTGTTTGGCTATAGACATATACGGTTATGCCTCCGCCTCCTGCATTCCTGCGCCAGGCAAGAGAAACCCGTTTACACGGTGCTGCTGGCACTTAAACGCGACATCGCTCACTCCAGTAAGTTAGATGTTTACAGAAGCGCCCGAGGCGCGTCGAGCTGCACGCCGAGACATGTGCGTTCACACAGCCGCGCACTGAAGACCGATTATGAAAAGAGAACAAATATGAGAATTTAATTGTAGTGAGTCGCAAATTCATAAAGAGTTAAAGCGTCACAATGCGCTTTTCGACTGGCACATGACATTAAAATATACTAAAAAGTAATTAGCTACTAATTATATCTTCGAGTGTAAATGGGTTACTGTACTCATTACTCTCTCTAAAAAGTTATGCATTACTTCTTACTAACTACTTTCTATATATGTCAGTCTCGACCATTGAAGAATACAAGGATAGACATGAATATGCTCTTTTAATTATTTCCAATAAATAATATAAAGTCCCTTAAATTATTATTGAACTGACCAAAGTATTTAAAGGGACAAGGTTACACTAAAAACATACATTTTAACTTTAGATGTTAATTTGTTAAATTCACTATTGTTTTATATATATATTTTTCTATAGTTTATACAGTATTTAATGCAATTACATCAGAAGTAACTAATTAATTTACAGAAAAATTAAGTGTAATCCTTTACTTTTTCTAGGGAAAATTAAATTATAGTAATTACTTGGCACTGCATTACATCCAACATTGGCAATAATAAGAGTAAACTATGTAATTACATACAACTAACCCCAATCCAAACCCTTTCTTTAATATTACTCAGTACTTGAATGTATAATTACACTGTAACAAGAACACCTTAAATCACAATGTAACAGAAAATCATATTTGCTTTTTTACTAGTCAGATTACTAGTTGCAATTATTTTATTTTTTAATTGTGAGGGAGATTAAAAAATATTTATTAAAATATTTTATTAAAATATAACTATATATTTATAAATATAAAATAAAGCATTTAGCCTACTGTTTCTTAACGTTTTAAAACTTTTTAATAAACTTAATATACTTTCCTCAATTATAATCATACCATTCTCAATTTAAAAAGAATGTGAAAAGCAACTTTGTTGCAGGTTTAAACCTCACATGGTTTGATTTATGAATTGCTATTACACAAAGTGCTTAATCTAACATAAATCCAGAAGAATATACTATAAAAGTTTTTTAAGCATCAGCTAAAATACCATATGTGACCCTGGACCACAAAACCAGTCATAAGGGTCAATTTTTTTAAATCATCAAAGCTTTCTATTGAGATATGGTTTGTTATGATAGAACAATATTTGGCCGAGATACAACTATTTGAAAATCTGGAATCTGAGGGTGCAAAAAAATCTAAATACTGAGAAAAATGCCTTTAAAGTTGTCCAAATGAAGTTCTTAGCGATGCATATTACTAATCAAAAATTAAGTTTTGATATATTTACAGTAGGAAATTTACAAAATATCTTCATGGAACATGATCTTTACTTAATGTCCTAATGATTTTTGGCATAAAAGAAAAATCGATCATTTTGACCCATACAATGTTTTTTTGGCTATTGCTACAAATATACCCCAGCGACTTAAGACTTTGTGCTTAGAAGGTTTTGTGCTCCAGGGTCACATATTAGTGACAACTTCAACAAAAGCATAAAAGAAATTATATCAATACATTTCAACATTTTAATGGATTTCAATTAAGCAGTTGCACAACCATCACTACAGGCAGTCAAAAAAAATAAATAATAATAATAGACAGTACATAAATGACAATACCAGCTGTTCAGCAAACTGAACGCAAATGAACTATTGCCTAGCCGACTAGGCAGCTTGTTTTCAGTGACAGGCCTCACTTATGTTGATGGGTTCACATTGGCTCTGGGTTGTAAATGTAAGTTGAGGTGGAATGGGAGATCTGGTCGAGGCAGTATTAAACAAATGTCAGCGAGCATTCAGTACACTCCTGGAAGCAAGCAGCAGAAATGTTGTGAGAAATGTTGGCTAGGACAACCTGTGGAATGTGACCAGGTTAGTTCTGCTAAACCGATGCTGGAACATCTACTGAAAATGTTGGATGTCTTTGTAGAGAAAAAAAACAAGTGGAATGTAAAACTGTTGATGTTCTCCCAACGTTACAGGACAAGCTCCACCCTCCAAACAATGTTGAGCAACTGGACCAAACAGATGCAGATACCGTGGATCATAAATCTCATCCGATGTAGATGCGATGGAAATCGTTGGCACCAAATGCAGCATTGCACTTTGGGCACTTTCTCTGACGAGTGTCGTAGCGCGTCTTCACGCACTCAAAACAGAAAACGTGGAAGCACTTTGTCAAAACGGCGTCCTTTACACGTGAATTGCAGCATGGACAGGTCAACCGGGCCTGTGAAACAGAAAAAAGAATCCTTTAAAGACATGAACACAAAACTCTTTCTGGTCCCTCGTTCAAATGATCAACAATAATGACCTTGTAATCGTTTATTTCTTCATTCAGGATCTCATCTCCATTTCGAATGTTCTCCGCAGGTTTCTTGGCCTTCTCGATCTTCCTGCGCAGTTTGGATATGTCCTCCTAATGAGATGAAGGAAAGGTTAAACAAAAATAGTACAAAATAGCTATTTTTACCCCAATTCACAAAGTATATCACTTTCTATCGATGGATGACCAACAGTATGAAGTTCAACACCATTAAACCGCCTTCATATTTGCTGAATTAAATCCAATATTTGTTTCTTACTCATTTTGGGGTGCTGATCATACCTAATGATTATCTTAAAAAATATGATGCATTTCGTAGCATTTTTGCTTTTGATAATCACTTGTAAGGTGAAGAGGTCTTGTATTATCGTTTAATAGCCATAAAAACTGCTACAAAGACATGATTCCTGTCTTCTTCTGAACCAGGTTAGAACTGTTTGTTCAATTCTTAGTTGATTTTCACATCTGCATGATCATGAATGATCTGAAGACATTATGTTATGCCTAATCCTGATTTCAACATTAATCCGCTCCTTTGCAGATTGTACATTTAAGGGACAGGTCACCCAAAAATGAAAAATCACTTACTCTCCACTTATACCAAACCTGTACAAGTTTCTTTCTTCTGTTGAACACAAAAGAAGATATGTTGGTAACCAAACAGTTGATGATAGCCATTCCATAATATATATATTTTTTCATAATATGGAAGTCAAAGGCTACTGTCAACTGTTTGGTTACCAACATTCTTCAAAATATTGTTTAACATAAGAAAGAAACCCACTTCCAAAACTTGTTTTTTTTTTGGGTGAACTATCCCTTTGATACATTTTGAATACTTATTTTTGTCATTAAAACCAAAAATGTGACTGCTTTTGTAATTTTGATAAGTTCATCATGTACGCACCTGTGCACGTCGGGCATTGAAAGACTCCTTTTCTCGAGAAATGCTGTTCTCAATCACCTCCTCTCTGACCGCACTCAACCTCTGCTGCACCCCTTCCAGCTGAGAGCGCACCTCCTCCGAGAGCAGCACCGACTCCTGCGCCTAAAACAGACAGAGAATTAATAGAGGTTTTTTTTATTTGCTACTCTCCCCCCACATAGTATTTATGATGCTGCAAGTATACAAACTGCATATATGTGAGTACATGTTGTCGTACCTTGCGTTTGTTCATCTCTAAAGCCTGTGTGCGGAGCCCCAGCTCCCTCTCCGCAGCGCTGATGGTGCCCTGCAGGAGGCGCTCTTTCTCCTCTAGCTTCCGAACCACCTGCAGCTGAGCGTCCACCTGAGAGAAAGACAGAAAAATCACATTTTATGTTCTGTTCAGCTGCACATGTGAACACTGGAGAACAGGAATAAAAGCATATGTGTAGGATTTCAGTCTTTAGCTGTATACTGAAATTCAAGTTTGGTAAACACGGACCTGCAGAGTCATACAGCAAAAAGATAATAGGGGATGTAAACGTCACATTTCTCTCCTGGATGAACATTAGATATTGATATTTATTTCACTAGCAGAGCTCATATCCAAAGTGACTTAAAAATGCATGGTATGGCCCGGTACGGCTCAGTACGACTCACTTTTGGGGGCTTTTCCACTGTGTATAGCACCTTTTTTTAGTACCACCTCGGTTGAGGTTCCAAGCGAGCCGTACCGATTCTAAAATGTGATGTGTGAACAATGCAGATCACTGATTGGTCAGAGAGAATCGTCACTACCAGCGTCCTTAGATTTGCGACACGAGACACCAAACCCGGGCTACTAAAGTGATTCAGTCAAGAAGAGTGAGTGATTTTCTGTCTTTCTTTTGTGGCTTGATTAACATCAATGCCACAGACAATAGCAACTAAATTAGGCTGCTGTCCCTTTAAAACCAGATACACAGATGCAATGTACTGATACACGTCCAATATTCTCCCAACTGTTTATGTTCACATAAGACATAACCGAGTGTGTTTACGTGAATACTCGTCAAAACAGACAATTCGACATCATTTTGTGTGTATTTCTACGTTCATGAGACGCGAAGGAGTACTCGTGTGCTGTGTGAGAGGCACTGCTTCGGTGTGTGCGCTCAGGAAACCGGACCGAATTGAGTTCTCTTTTGCGTCGTCAGATTTGCACTCCAGATATGTCTGCTCTTCTTACTCCCAGATATCGATATTTTTGTTCATTTTATGAGACGTGCAGCAAGTGTATGTTAGCTTATGTCCCGCCGGTTCATATGTACGCATCTAACCTTGCAACCATGCAGCAGAATGAATCTCTTCCCAAATCGTCCCTCCCTAACATTTTCGTCTCGTTTTTTTTCGTTGACGAAAATGTCAATAGATTTTCGTCATAGTTTCTGTCATTCATAAACGAGTTTTAGTTCGTCACTCTCGTCTCATTTTCGTCGTGAAAAAAATGTCGTTGACGAAAATTATTCATCAACGAAATTAACACTGCTATAATCCCACCCTCTTTGACGCGGTACTGAACTGCAGTGGAAAAGTGCCATACATGAAGGAGACTGTATTTTTGGCAGGTCGCATAAACGCAGGTTTCAGAGGTCCCACACTTCTTGAATAAAGAATTTCTAAGAAACTCATGAGGGGTAATTTACAAGAAATTAAATATCTTTCAGAAATGTAAATTCACAATAGAAATGTCCATGACTATTGTCCAGGCCTGGAAATCAATTTAAATTCTCCGACATTTCCAGGTCTAACCATGGAAGATTAAACCCTGAAGTTTAAAAAGAAAATACAATGATAAGTTATATGCCACTGGAGTAGATTTTAGGGTCAGAAATTAATGTCCCCCAAAATGTTTTTATTTAATTTGCAAAAGTATTAAATTTTCTCATCATTTCATATTTTTATATCAATTTTTAATTGTTACATTTATTAATTTCATAGCATTTTTATGCAGCTAACCGTAGACACGCCACCTCTGCGCTGCATTAATCAGCCGGTGTAAAAATACACCTAAATGTCACTTCAGGTGCAGCATCTGTGCCACTTCTGCAGCGCAAAGATGGATTTTGATCTCATTCGATCGGTAACATCTCTATAGCGTCTTACTATGCTAAGTGAATTTATTGATTCATTGGAAATATTTGACATAAAAGATGTATACATTCAATAAGGTTAGAAAAAAATACCCATATAAAGGTAAAAAATAAATAAAGAAATAAAAAGGGCCAAATATAACCCCTTAAATTATTTTCTGTCACTGATAGCTTATGTTACCATTTTTTATTCATTCAAAACAGAACCCCTGGAACATGACATTAAATATTTTTCAGTCGTTACAGGTAGTGTGACTGTCTGCATACTTCATAGTTGCAGTATTACACAGCTATGCAACCTTCCAAAACAATTGTGCAATCTGAAGATCGTAAAAATAAAACACCATAATCCAAACAATTCACTCAAGCATTCATTCATGAACATAACAGTCCATCTCAAAAGATGACAGCACCACAAAACTCCAAGCCCACCCACCTGTGTTTTGAGTGTGAGCAACTGGTCAGCTAGCTCCTCTTTCTCTTCCTTGAGAAAAATAAAAGAAAAAGATAAATCCAACTATAACAACTCGATCATGTAAAACAATATAGCACATGTCTTTAGGGCTGCAAAATATGGGGAAAAAAATGACATTGCGGCATGGCACTGTATCTACGAGCTTCACACGTTCAAGTAAACACAGTGCCTCGCTTCACTGGAAAACCAGCCTTTGCTATTTGACCATTGCATTAAGCCACATCAAGATATTGATTTTGACCGTTTAGAAAAGTAACACACCACACCTGTCTAAGCTGCACAAATTACTCGTATCCGTAACACAGATGGCGCAGGAAGAAATACACACAGAAGTTTAATGCCTTGCAGTTTGTTCAAATCCCTGACCTTAAGCGCAAGCAATAGTAATTCCTTAGCAAACACCACTAGGTAAAGATAAAAACCGAGGCTGTACCAGTGGTGCTGGGTGTGGCGGAGCCGCTATCTGGCTCTGTCTTCACAGTAACGTCACCTGTCGGGGCAGGTGTGTGTGGGGAGGCGGTCTCCTCCTTCACATCCATCTCTGTGCTGGACTGTGATTGGACAGCAGCATTGCCTTTGGCAGCACGCAGCTATAAGAGAGGACAGAAACATCAGCAATCACTTATTTTTTGTTGTGTTTAACAAAATATTTAGTTAAACAAGTCTGTGCTCAAACCTGGTTGAGCTCTTGCTGAGCCTCTCTCAGTCTGAGTTTGTATTTAACCACTTCTCCCTTTAACTGCTGGTTATGAGTCTGCAGTGTACTGATCAAATGTCTCATCTCACGGTTTATAGGGCCTGAAAAAGAACCAGAGAGTAATACAGTCAATTCAAATGCTGATCGGAGCAAAAAGGAACCAACACCAAGAGCAGAGGAAGGTTACCTGCTTGTTCATTAGCAGCTAACGTCTGCTCAAATTCGATCCTGAGCATCTCGTACTCCTTGCGCACCTGTGCTAACGTGTCTTCCAGCTGAATCACTTCAGTACGGACCTTACGCTGCAAGGACACCTCGTCATTCTGAAACAAACACAAACAAGTCATCATGTTAAAGTCAAGCATGTTATCATGTCAAGTCAAGCATGTCTTGCTTTAATGACAATAAAAGTTCTGGCATCACTGTTGACTTGACTGCACAAACATTACTGGAAGAGAACCGAACTGAACTGGACGATGACATTAAAGGGGTCCTATTATGCTTTTTCACTTTTTTAAATTTTAGTCAGTGTGTAGTGTGTATGTTTGGGCATAAAAAGTTACAAATCTCAAAGTCCACTCCAAAGGGAGATATTTCGTTTTTAAAAAATCCCTTTTCAAGAACTACAACGAGCGGCTCGTTTGGACTACAGCGTTGGTTTCCGGGCTTTGTGATATCACAAAGTGGC